CAGAAAATGAAGTTCCCATTTTGCACAACTGATTTTGCCCAAATTCATATGAAATGAAAAACTATGGAGCTTAATCAAGGCTAGTGCAAAAAAGAGAAGCAGAATGTCTCATGTTAAGAGGACTGGACTGGAAGAGAAAAATGAGAGTTTTTAGATAGATAAGATAAAAAGAAGGATGGAGAGTTTATTGGAAATCATCAAACGAAAAAATCAAGAAGGGGATATGTACCATCAACAAGAATTAGCCTGTAATTTGGCGACTTGTTTGTTGGGTACTTTGAAGAAATTCAAGGATTTAGTCCACACCATCCAAACTCCCCAACAAGATATTCGCAAACTTCTACCATGTAGAACTCAGACTTTTCAAACTACAAATATAAAAAGATGCACTGTAAATCAGCAAATCCAAGTTTCAGTCCTGGAGTTGTCAGTAATGAGCCAGATGACCTTGGACAAGTCTCTTAACGTCTCCTGGTGTTCCTTTCCTTACCATTTAAAGCATCAAGACACTTTAATCCCTGGTCTTAAATGAGCCAGGGTGGAATATCTGGAGTTCCTGCACTTTTATTTTTCTTTCCCATCCAGGAGTGACTTTCATTTCCAGTGACGAAGGCCCAGTCTTCCCTGTTTGCTCAGGGAGCCTCCCTGTGGTATGCCCACCTACCTCATTTGTTATCTACCCAAACTGTCCTGAATCATTAGCAGTTTCCTCCCAAATATGTTTATCTGTCTGGTCTTCCCAAGTACATTATAAGCCACTTCACTACTGGGGTCATTGTTTGTAATTTTTTATAACCTTCATAATACTGAGCATAATGATTTACATTCAGAAGACATTAAACAAATCTTTGTTCTTTCATTATTAATTTAAGACAGCAAGCATTTTTCATTTTTCTCTGTCACTCCCTGATAGTCGATTATGGATGTAAAAGCAGTTTTCCAAACTCAGTGAACTTGCCAAACTAGTGAAAAGAAATCATCATTTGGCTTTAAAACAGGGGTGGTGAAGATGAACCACGGGGAGAGAAGCAGCCCCTGAAGATCAGGCCCTGCAGACACACGCTCTGCTCATGATTTCTACTCACGGTCTCCCTGGAACATTTAACTCAACTCCACTTATATGTGTAAACAGATGATTTGTTACTCCTGCAAATATCCATTTAAAGTTGAATCCCCCAAATCCCCAAAATTGGGACAGAATTAAAATTTTCATGATTCTCCAGGTTTTTTGTGATCAAATTTTTCTGATGCTGATCCTTCTATTTGCAATATCCTCTTTAGAAATGTCTGTAACTGATTTTTTTTCTCCTCTCATGTAGAATAATACACCCAAGGTAAGGATTTTGTGTGTTCAACACATAGTGGCAAAACACAAGTCATGGTTTGGCCACAATGCCCTCTCCATTATGAGGCCTTTTAATTATTGGACGAGAATTATTCTATTCTTGGTTAATTCTTATCATTCTCAACTCTGTGTTCTCCTTATGATCTCTTATTTTGTTTTTGTTTTTTATTTGTTCAAATTAGTTATACATGACAGTACATTGTACATTAATGGAGTGTAACTTCTCATTCATCTGGTTGAACATGATGATGAGTTACACAGGTCATGTAATCACATATGCACACAGGGTAATAATGTCCTATTCATTTTACTATCATTCCTATCCCCATACCCCCTCCTCTCCCATCATTCCCCTTTGTCTAATCTAAACTACTTCTATTCTCTATTCTTCCCCCCACACTGTCCCCTGTTGCCCTTATTGTGAATTAGCATCTGCATATCAGAGAAACATTTGGCCTTCCATTCTTTGGGATTGGATTATTTCACTTAGCATAATATTCTCCAGTTCCATCCATTTCTCAGTGAAAAATGCCATAATTTCATTCTTCCTTAAGGCTGAGTGATATTCCATCCTAAGAAAACCTGGAGTGGAACCACCATTTGACCTAGTCATCCCACTCCTAGGTTTATACTTAAAATCAGCATACTACAGTGATGCAGCCACATCAATGTTTACAGCTGCTTGATTCACAATAGCTAAACTATGGAACCAACCTAGGTAGCCTTCAACAGATGATCTCTTATTTTGAATTACAAAAATTAAAAAGGTTAACTAATGTTCTTCAAAAGGAAAAAGTCTTGCTTCACTTTCTCAGTGGGTAAACTGCAGCACATAGGAGAGAACATCATTAGTGAAGATGTCTCTGCCCTTTTGAAATACGTATTTGTTCTTGTCTTTACTGGCCTATTAAGAAAATTGCCATAATTAAGAATAAGCTAAAATGTGAGAGTAAATAGCATACTCACCCATGAGACTGGAGCCTTTAATGTTCTTATCAATTGTTTGCTTACCCACTGGTTTGTAAAATTTCAGTAATTCACAGATGGATCCTCTTATTGGTGCTGGGAATTCATAAAGTTCCACTGAGCCCACTAATTTCTGTTCCCTTTCACTACCATTCATCATTGGATTGTGTAACTCCATTTTTGACATTAACAGCTCTGGGAGAACATTCTACTATACTTGAAATGAAACAATCATAATACTGCTTAAGAAAAAAAGATATAACACTTTGTACCCATAATTCTGCCAGCAATGGTGTGAAAGTAAATTTTTAAAAATAATAATTGGTACCCAGAGGACAATGCCAATTAACTGCATACTTTCATTTGATGAAAAGCAATATTTCCTCCTTAGTTCTTTAATCAAGTTGTCTTTTGTTTTTGTTTTTGTTTTTTTCCTTTTAGTTAACGTCTGGTTAATCTTGAAAGAAAAAATTGTCAGCATACTTAAATAGAGTACAAGGGGAGAAGATATTTTGACTCTTTAAAGCAGTAATAAAAACTGTGTTTTAAAGTAAAGCATTTCTTTATGGTCCAAAAAATACTGAGTGTGCTCCCTTGCAGGTACTCTGTGAGGCTGGCTAACAGTAGATGCTCAATAAATGTGTATTAACCGCATGATTGACAAACACATTTAATGTTAATGACCACTCGGACAAGATAGCATTCACTTTTACAGCAATGAACTATTCCTCTGGCATATGCTTTACTCATTCTACAAAATTGATGCTACCTTAAAATTTTTTGCCACTTTTTGAAGCTGTATAGTATATTCAAACACAATAATTTCCTTAATCCTAATACCCTAGAAAGTAGGTAGAATTTTCCCCTAATCCACAGATATAACCTGAAGAACCTCACAGCCTCTCCCTTGACTCTGGAGCTTTCCCTTTGCCTTACCTGGCCACGGTCCAAGAGTTAAATTTCTACCATTAAACTGTCTCTCATCAATCAAAATATTGAAGGATGAAAAAAATATGGTATCTTGGATTTGCTTCAAAATAATCTGGGAAAGTCAGGGAGTAAGAAGTTCATGGGGATAGAAAAGACGGAAGATTTACATCAAGTAGCTAATGGTTGAAGCTGAGTGGGCTTTGCTTCTATGTTTGAAAGTTTCCATAACACAGAATTTTCTTAAATAACTGAGAACCGAAAATAAAGAAATATATGAAATAGTCCTTCTCAAGGTGTTTTGCTCAAGATAAGAGGATTTTTTTTACTGTTTGATTTTAAACTAACTCCACCCACCCCCATGTCAGCCACACAAACCTAATGTTAAGTGACTCTTTCACATCCCACTGGAAGTTGATTTAAGTAGCTTTGCAGAGTGGAACTTAATAGAAGGCTCCAGATACTTAAGACATATAAAAATAGCTAACTCTCTTGCAGTCTAGTCTACTATTAGGAAAGCATCGTGGCACACATAGAGCAATGTATTTCTTATTGTTGCCTGGCTTTTAGAGTCGGGCAGTAAAATAACAAGCCATAGTAAGCTCCCAGTCCCCGTGTATGAGATTTAACTGTGTTCATTCAGAGAAATAACTGCAAGTTATATGATCCTAAACATAAGCTGAGGCCTTCGAAAATCATCATGGATTGTTCTATGAAGTTACATTAAGGTGGCTCAGCATTTAAAGCAATGGAGGTAAGAGTTCCCTCCAAAAGAAAACTACATTGAATCTTCAACTTCTGGAATCCAAACACCTCAAGAGAAACCCATGAAACAGTAGTGCTCTCCTTCTTTTTAGAAAGAAATTCACTGGAATTACTGTTATTCAAGAAGACAGAACTTCTTTGAGCTCAACGTCTTGTAAAATTTTACCAGCTGAAGTACAACAAGTCTTCTGGTCCTGGGAAGGAATTTAATGATCAGGTACCTTGACCAAGAATTAGTTTTATGATCCTTCTTCCTTGGGCACCACTTTGAGGACAGAGGAAAAGAACACTTGGTCCGAAGGATCCCTTCCATGGTCCCTGCTGGGGGAGACCCAGAGCACAAGCAAACCACGGATCCTGGGTCAAGGTTAAAACAAAGGCACATAGGTGGGGAAAGAAGGCAGCAACAAGAGCATGACTGAGACCTCTGCTGGCACATGTGGAAATCCACAGCTTTAGCAGCATTTCTTCAAGCCATGTTCAGAAACATGGTAAATATCAAAATAATCTACAGGTTACTAGCAAAAAATTAAAAATACATTCTGATTTGAAGCATTGTAACTTTTTCACTACCACAAAGAGCAATGGCAGCAATAACAGAGAGACCAGTAAAAAAATTTTAAAGACAAAAGTTATTTCCATCTCTGAATTAACTCCCATTTCATACATGTTCCCAAAGGTAGAGATTGCTAAAGAAATTAAATATAAGCACCCACAGCTGTTTCCACAAAGACCATAATTTAAACTTGAAGAACTGCCGGGAGAACTTTTTGACACCTCTGATTTTGTAAAAATATACAATGAGGTATGGATTAATTGTTTTGGAAGGCCAGTCATAGTTAGTTATTTATATCTTTAAAATACAAAAGGGATATAATCTGTAACTACATAATACTGAAATATTTCATGTAACAAATATTTTCCTAACTTTGAATTTTCCTCAAAACAAGCCAGAATATCTTTAGACAGTCTAGTAGGTCGAAAGACAAGCACTCACGTGAGATAGCAGAGCCAGCTCATGGTGACATGTGACAGCGTTCCTGTTGGCTTCCATAAAATATCTCTGTGTGCGCCTCCGTTCCCGTTCCAGTTTCTTCTCCAAGGCCAGCTGGGATGTCGATAAGTTGTCTAAATACTTCATCATGACATCTGATATCATCGAACTGACTTCTACAATGTCGGGACGGATTTCTGCATCAGGAGTCAGGCACCTGAGACAAGGGATGAGCCAATTACAACACTGAATGAATGTCAGGATCAGACCTGGGATGTGGAAGGTCAAGATTAAACTATGCTACAGAGTCCACCATGGTATCTGCACCCAAGAAAACCTGGATAAGATAGGAATCAAACATAAGTTTGAATCCAACACTTCCCAAAGGGTATTTAGAGAGCCGGGGAGAGAGAGGGAGGCAGGACTGTTTCTTAGCATGTAGGCAGGTAGGCAAGGGCCATAGGTTGGGTGTGAAGCATAGGCAGAGGGGCTCATCATCTCCTGTGTGGGTCAACTGCCTTCTGAAGTTACTCTCAGCTCACTGGTCAGTAGAACAAAGAGGGACCCCAATACACAGTCCCTGATGATCACCTTTGATGCACCAAAAGGAAGGACAGTTTTGGTGGGGGGGGGCGGGGTGTTGGGTCACAACTTATTGGCCTTTTCCAGCTGAATGTTGTCATTATTAACACACTTTGATGATTCAGTCTTTCAAAACAAAACACAAAGTCATAAACATAAAATATAATCCTATTACTTAGAGGTTGAAGATGTCTATAATAGGGTCAAAATAAAACTGGATCAACTTTTTAAATTATGGAACTTCGCTGGGCATACAAAAGAGCAGTCCCGGGGGAAGATGGCGGCGAGGGGAGTGCATTACCCCCGTGTGCTGCTTCACTGTGTGGGAGTATGACAAGTCAGGACGGCTAAAGGATATCTTGTTAGGAATTTCCAGCAATAGTGGGGTGCGCCGGAACCTGGAGGAAGGATTTCCATCGCATGAGGATTGGCTACGGGGACTCAAACGCGAGAGGTTTGTCGCACGGAGGGTAATACTGCTTATTCAGCAAATCGCCCCGCGGCTAGAGTCTGCAACGCGCGCTGGGATAGAGACGCAGGGTTACAGCGCTGCAGTTTCTGCCAGACGCGCAAGCACCGCACTCAGGGCTGAATTCTGGGTTCGAGACGGGGAAGGAAGCGGTCCATCTCGGTTCTCCACACCGGTCAGACCACAGAGGAGGCCAGCAGCCACCATGTTGGTAAACTGACGTCACCACACCTGTTTTTGACTGACCGCAGCTCATTCAGCCATAGAACAGGTAATTTCAGGCTGCAATTCGCCTGCGGCTTGCAGACAGATTGCTAGGGTTCAGCGCCTGGGGGCTTCTTAAAATCTGATCTTATCGGAGTGAACACGGAGCGCGGGGCGGCCAAGTCCCGGCTCCCGGAACCGTCCCGGAACCGCCCTGGCTCCGGGCTGCGGAGCCTGCGGAGGCTGCTTCTTGGACCCTGCTAATATCAGAGCAAACACGAAACACCAAGAAGCCGAATTCCAGCTCCCGGAACTGAGCCCGCGGGGACTGCTTCTTGGAGCTTACACTTATAGGAGCTTACACCGAGCACAGAGCGGCCGAGTTCCGGCTCCCGGAACCGTCCCGGAACCGCCCTGGCTCAGGGCTGCGGAGCCCGCGGAGGCTGCTTCTTGGACCCTGCTACTATCAGAGCATACACCAAACACTAAGCGGCCGAATTCCGGCTCCCGGAACTGAGCCCGCGGGGGCTGCTTCTTGGAGCCTACACTTATAGGAGCTTACACCGAGCACGGAGCGGCCAAGTTCCGGCTCCCGGAACTTCCCTGGACCGGGGCTAGGAGCCCGCGGAAACTGTGTCTCGGTCCGGGTCCTGCTGAGGGCAGGTCAGGACTCACCCATTGCTTGGGTTGCCTGGCAAGGGGAACGAAATGCTGCCATTCGCATAGGATACCAACATGGCAGAGATCTGATGTCAGCAGAAAGCGGTGGAGGAGAGATCTTCATCAATACCAGCGGTGACATAAGCAGTTGGTCTTCTGGTAAGGGGGGTGAGGCTCAGTCACCCGAGTCTCCTCAATTTGTCCTCGAGCCAGAGGGAAGGAGCCGGGCCGCCGCCAGCCCCCGGAGCAGGCCCAGCGGCTCGCCAGCGTGGTGACCGCGTGACCCCAATTGGAGAGGGGGCGGAGCGGAGCCGCCACCCACACCCGCCAGGTGGGCAGACCCACGACCCAGTAGTACATGGGCGTGGTAGGAGGGGCAGGGCAGAGCCGCCCTTCGCGCTTGCAAGGTAAACAGACCTGTGACAGCCTGGCGGGTCAGGCCCAGTGGCCTGCCAGTGTGGTACACACGTCACCCCAACTCGAGTAGGGGCAGAGCAGATCCTTATCCCACGCCCGGATCAGGCCCTGCCGGTGTGGTGGTCACGTGACCCCAATTGGAGTGGGGGTGGAGCGGAACCGCCACCCGTGCCCGCAGGGTGAGCAGACCAGTGATCAACCTGCAGATCAGGCCCAGGGGTCCGCAGGCGTGGTAGGAGGGGCAGGGCAGATCCGCCGCCAGCGCCTTCAAGGTAGGCAGACCTACAACAGACCGGCGGATCAGGCCCAGGAGCCTGCCGGCGGGGTACAAACACCACCCTAATTGGAGTAGGGACAGAGCAGAGTCGCCTCCCTTGCCAGGAACAGACCCAGCATCCTGCAGGCGGGGTAGTCACGACACCCCAATTGGAGTAGGGGCAAAGCAGAGCCTCCACTCGTGCCCGAAAGGTGGGCAGATCTGCGACCGACCAGCAGGACAGGCCCAGTGGCCTGCTGGTACGACAGACACGTCACCCCAATTGGAGTAGGGGCAGAACAGAGCCGCCACCAGCTCCCAGAACAGGCCCAGTGACCTGCCGGCGTGGTAGCCACGACACCCCAATTGGAATAAGGAGAGAGCAGAGCCGCCGCCCGCACCTGCAGGAAAGATACGCAAGCAGTATGAAAAGACAAGGAAAGAAAGGACCACAAGCAATGCAGGTCAACGCAACTTTAGAAGAGGTAACAGCTGCAGCAGATGGAATGTCAGATAAAGAATTCAGGATATACATGCTTCAGATGATCTGGAGTATCAAGGAAGACATTAAACAGCAAAATCAGACAATGAAAGATCACTTCGACAACGAATTACGCAAACAAATCCAGGAAGCAAAGGATCAACTATACAGGGAGATAGAGGTTATAAAAAACAAGCAATCAGAAATCCTAGAAATGCAGGAAGCAATAAACCAACTTAAAAACTCAATGGAGAATACTACCAACAGAGTAGAACACTTAGAAGATAGAACATCAGACAATGAAGACAAAGTATTTCAACTGGAAAAGAACATAGACAGCTCAGCAAGACTGTTAAGAAACCATGAGCAGAACATCCAAGAAATATGGGATAACATTAAGAGACCAAACTTAAGAGTCATTGGGATACAGGAAGGTACAGAGCTCCAAACCAAAGGAATGAGCAGTCTATTCCATGAAATAATACAAGAAAACTTCCCAGACTTGAAGAATGAGACAGAATCCCAAATCCTAGAAGCCTACAGGACGCCGAATGTGCAAAATCATAAGAGATCCACACCTAGACACATTATAATGAAGATGCCCAACATACAGAATAAGGAGAGAATTTTAAAAGCTACAAGAGAAAGGAAGCAGATTACATTTAGGGGCAAGCCAATCAGGATAACAGCTGATCTTTCAACACAGACTCTGAAAGCTAGAAGATCCTGGAATAACATATTTCAAACACTGAAAGATAATGGGTTCCAACCAAGAATTGTGTATCCAGCGAAATTAAGCTTCAGGATGGAGAATGAAATTAAAACCTTCCACGATAAACAAAAGTTTAAAGAATTCGCAGCTAGAAAACCATCTCTTCAAAACATCCTAGCCAAAGTATTACAGGAAGAGGAAATGGAAAATAACAATGAAAACCAACAGTGGGAGGTAGGACAGTAAAGGGGGGGGGGAAACAATCAAAGAGGAAAACAAACAATGTTTAGTAACAGAAATAAACAAATATGGCTGGAAGAACAACCCATATCTCAATAATAACCCTAAATGTTAATGGCTTAAACTCACCAATTAAGAGACACAGGCTAGTAGAATGGATCACAAAACAAGACACAACAATATGCTGCCTACAGGAGACGCATTTGATAGGAAAAGACATACATAGGCTGAAGGTGAAAGGTTGGGAAAAATCATATCACTCATATGGACTTCGGAAACAAGCAGGCGTGTCCATACTCATATCAAATAAAATAGATTTCAAGCCAAAGTTAATCAAAAGAGATAAAGAGGGACACTACATACTGCTTAAGGGAACCATACACCAACAAGACATAACAATCATAAATATTTATGCCCCAAACAATGGTGCAGCTATGTTTGTCAAACAAACTCTTCTCAAGTTCAAGAGTCTAATAGACCACCACACCATAATCATGGGAGACTTCAACACACCTCTCTCGCCACTGGACAGATCTTCCAAACAAAAGTTGAATAAGGAAACTATAGAACTCAATAACACTATTAATAACCTAGACCTAATTGACATATATAGAGTATACCACCCAACATCAAGCAGTTACACTTTTTTCTCAGCAGCACATGGATCCTTTTCAAAAATAGATCATATATTATGTCACAGGGCAACTCTTAGACAATATAAAGGAGTAGAGATATTACCATGCATCTTATCTGATCATAATGGAATGAAACTGAAAATCAACGATAAAAGAAGGAAGGAAAAAGCATACATCAATTGGAGAATGAACAATAGGTTACTGAATGATCAATGGGTTATAGAAGACATCAAGGAGGAAATTAAAAAATTCTTAGAGATAAATGAAAACACAGACACAACATATCGGAATCTATGGGACACATTGAAAGCAGTTCTAAGAGGAAAATTCATTGCTTGGAGTTCATTCCTTAAAAAAAGAAAAAACCAACAAATAAATGATCTCATACTTCATCTCAAAATCCTTGAAAAAGAAGAGCAAAACAACAGCAAAAGAAGTAGAAGGCAAGAAATAATTAAAATCAGAGCTGAAATTAATGAAATCGAAACAAAAGAAACAATTGAAAAAATTGACAAAACTAAAAGTTGGTTCTTTGAAAAAATAAACAAAATCGACAGACCC